GAGTGAAGGAAGGGAACTGTAGGAATTTTGTTTTAAAACTTGTTTCTAACAGTATTTTTCCACTATACTAGAAATGTTTGAAGAATGTGTTATACTCGTATCTATCATTATTACTGATGGTTATCCATCTTAGCCCGGTGCAGTAGCTGGTTTTGAATCTTGGTATGAAGTAGTAAACCAGATTAAAAACCTGTGGTCTCCTCTTAGGCATGCTTATCAAAAAATTGGTGGCATAAATAAAGAAAGAATTTATTTTTTTAAATAAATGGCAGTGGAGAAAGTAAAACATTTAATATAACAATAATAAGATACTTAGAACTGCATTATAAAAATTATTTAAATTTTGTTTCTTTTAACCAATAATCTTCAAAATAAACATTTTGGTTTTAAAAAAATTATGGGGGAAAAAAGATGGAATAGCGCCATATATTTTAATTATTTTTATCTTCCAAAACGAGGGGCCTATACGACCCTATACAAAAGATATAAGTGTGATTTTAAGAAGATTCACATTTTATTTTTTTATATTTCGTTAATTATATAAATATACATAACAGAATATATTAATTACATTTTGTAATTATTATTTTATGTTGTATTCTATTTTTTTATTAACACACAAATATTTTGGGTACTAACATAAAGACGAAGAAAGGTTGAGTTGTTAAATTATGGCTGTAGCAAAAAGGCTTTAAATTTGTGCAAAAAAATAACGATTTTTGTTTTATATGGAGTTAGAACAGAGTAAGGATTATTAAGAATTTAGGAAATGACCAAGATTTAATAATTTAAAAAATAGTTGATGCTTAAAGTTAAAAAGATAGAGGAAAGGGAGAATAAGGAGAGAGGAATTAACGATTGATGCATGCCGTGATAGACATAGCAAAAACTTTTTGGCTGCGTATAATAGGATTCCTCGGCGTAGAGAATTAAAATATTTTTATTTTGATAGATCTTACCAACAGCTAAAAATTATTTAAAACAATTTAATGAATAAAATAGCAACATCAATAATTAAAGTAGTTATAGTCTACAACAATAAAATAAATTGGTCAATATA